GACGTCATTTATATGCCAGAATTAAATAGATTTGCTAAACTGAACCCTTACCGTAACTCTAAACTAACCCTAATCTAGGCCGAATGATTGTCACGTGAAATTGTGATCATCACTGGGTTAAATCTTCCACAGTACGTTTATACAAATCTGACCTTTTATTTTAATTTTATTAATATGAAAAAAACTATCATTGTATAGGAAAACATCATAGTGGTACGTCTAAATTTATGAGTCAAAGACTTTATCATACATTGCTCAAAAGGTTTAATAGAAACAATTCATCAGAGATAGAACTTTTTAGTGTAAATAAAAATGTATATTATAATTAAATTAACGTAGAAGATTAGATAATGATTTTTATTGTTGCAAAGTAAAAAATATTGAAGAACGTGTAAATAATTTTTTGTAGAAAAAAATGTCTTAAATGTAAAAAACAATTTCATAAAAAATCTTGTAGTTAATACAGGTGAGCTGGTATTTTTCCTGATTAATAATTGTGGCGGCTTAAGCTGGGAATTTAAGCCATTTTAATATAAATTTTTAAATTTTGAAAGCTTTTTTAGGACTACGATTTAGAGTCTATTAATAAATGAATTTAGTATTACAGATTTGAATAGACGTCCAAATACAACATAAGCTGCCACAGTAATTCACAGATAAACAATGGATGTAAATATATAGAAATTTCCTCAAATCTAAATTTAAATGTTCAAAAATCCTAAAAAGCTAAAACTATATATAATCAAGTTACACCTCATAACGGCTGTGAAATTGTTCAATTAATTTCAATCCATTCAACTTAATTGAAATTAATTGAAGTGATTGTCACAGTTTATTTTTTTTTTTAGCTAATTAAACCATCCTATAAACTTTAGAGCGAAAACAACCAAATAAGCCGTAATTCAATTATTGATAGTATTTGCATTCAGGTTTATGATATCGATTGCCATGGGCTCGTATGTTTTTATAATCTGCAAGGCAACTGAATAATAATAAATCATGCGTCAAAAAAAATCTAATAAGAAAATCAAATGTCTTAAAAAATTAATACAAATCATATTACTTACATCCAACAAAATTCGTGTTTACATCGAGGATTTCCACATTTCATATGATCGCATCCACCACTTTTCTGAATTTTACTTGTACACACAGGACATTGTTTTAATCTTTGCATAAAAGCTTCCGATTTCTGTTCTTGTTTTTGTATTATACTGTTTCTTTTCTGTTCTTCATTTTGCCTGCATATTTCAGCTTTCTTCCGTTCTTCAATAGTTTTTAATGCTAACCTGGCATTTCTTTCCTCAATTTCTAATTCTAATAATGTTTGTGAAGGTTCATGATTTTTCCTTTCAGGCTTGAACTTTTTAAATATTGAAAAATATTTAGTTTTTGTTTTGACTACGGTTAACTCTTCTTCATTCGGTCGTGTAGGCTCAACTTTTTCACATTCAGGGCAGTTTAGACGATTATTATCAATTGGAAGATCATGTAAGACACAAGATTTCCGTCCACAGGCTTCACATGTCATTATTGGAGCAGCATCTTTGGAGAAATAATTTTTAGTATGAATAGTATGAATACAACAGATAAATGTTAACATCTTGCTAAAAATTTTTATAGTAAATATATGTAATTTACCTCCTTCGTCATGTATTTGCCCAGAGTTACAATCTTGGTTTGTACACCAATGAAAATCTGGCATTTGTAATAATGCATAACGTAGGTTAAGCTGGTCATACCTAAAATAATATATAAACTAAATATAAAATTTTTTTACGAATGTTAAATATACTAATTTTATATCATACCGACTAAATGTTTCTTCATCAGCAAATCTTTTAACGTCCTGTTCTTGTAATAACTCACGACACTCCTCTTCAGGACATAAAATATTAAAATTGCCTTTATCCAAAACTTCAGCTTTAATATGTTTTTGAACACATTCGCGGCACATGTTGTTTTCGTGAATGCATTGATCTGTAATATTTATAAAGTTATCTGGATCGACTTTTTCTATGCATATAATGCATTCTTTTCTATCATCAGCAGGACTTGAAGGCTGAAATTCATTGAAAAAAAATTCTTTTTGAGTAACGTCTTCATCATATATATATTGATATCCATTAGTCCAAAAAGTTGAACCAGCGATATCACATTTCACTGCAAATTCAAGGTAAAGTGGAGCATTTGGGGTTTTAAAAGTTGAAAGTTTGAAAATGTACAAATCTTTTTCTGATGAAACACTACACGATTTTTTTGCAGCCACGTTATAATATGTTTCCCAAAAATCAGTAGTGTAATCTATTGAAACATTTTTTCTCCCGTGAGCAACTTTATATATTAATATTTTCCCTTCAAGATTAATCATATTATCAATTTCATCAACAACTTTTATTGATTCTACAAATACTCCGTTATCCATTTTTTTTCTTTGGTAAATATTAGAATATATATATATATGAAATACTAGCCGTCATTACTGTATTCAATTTACAAATTTAGAGATTTAAGTTTCTTGATAGAATGGTCTTGTGAACATTACATACGTTTGTATTTATATACCGTAACATATTTTCGGAAATATGCCGTAGATCAGTACTTAAATACGTAGTATTATCCTAGAATGTAACTATTAAATTTTTTAAAAAAAAGAATGTATTACACAAATGTTTGACTGACTTTGTTTATTTTCCGTTATGAATGAAAAACTTATGACAATGATGCATAGCATAGTAAATAATCGAAAAAATGGTATAAATATGTAAATTTTGTAAATTGTTAATTGTTAGGTCTTTTATTATATTATTCACCTATTTAAATAAAAATAAATACAACCAGACCTCTCTAAATGCATTGTGACGGAACAATTTAGAGTGGGATTGCATTTAGGAAGGCAAAAATCTATAAGTATTATATTAAGGGGTTTCAAAGTTAAAATGCGGAAATCCAATTTTTTAATTGAAATTGGTTTTCAAATAAGCGATGTATCAACTTTATTTCATTTTCCGATAAAATTGAAATTATGATTTTGTCATTGAAAAGTCTATTTATTTCGTTAAATGGGGATCTCCATTTCATTTGCCGATTTTAAATTTTGAAATACAAATAAGATTTTTGCAACTCTCATTTAATTTCAAAATGCGTCACTCATTTGTTAACTAAGACATGTATTTAGGGGACATTTCATAGAACGTGCATTTAGGGGGTTACATTTAGAGGGGCCCAACTGTGCTTGTTCAAGCTGTACACTTTTCAAGAACTTTTATTATCGCAGAAGTCATTATGCTACTATCTCATCATTTTTCATATGTTAAAACTGATTGAAATCAATCCAAAAATTAATCCCACATGAAGAAAAATTTTAGTATTGTTAATTCTGCTCGCAAGCTTATAAATAAACTAGACTGCTCTGTCGGAATTATTACTTCTGACTCAATGCAATCAAAAACAAAAATTAACTTTCGTATAAACTCGTTCAATTATAAAAAACTAATAATTTGGTATAAAAAACGTTTGTTAATAACTAAAAAATTTTTATATTAACCGCCGAACTATACATAAAATAACAGTAATCTTAAAAAATCTAAAATTCAGACATCAAAGAACGTTATAAACATGTGTATCGAATAATTGACTGTGGAGACGATTATTGTCCAATTGCTCAATTGTGCAAGTTATCTTTGAGAATGTATTATTTTGAGGCTGTGATGTAGAAAGTCAAATTAAAAAATAGCCTATTTGCATTAAATTTTTGATTAAATTTCGATCTGTAAAATTTGATCAAAGATATATCATTTAGCAAACAGCAATAAAAAGATATTTCGTTTATAATCTGAATTATAGGAGGTAGTATGATTCAGGGAAAAGCGTATACATGCCGTAGAAACTAGTTGCGGCTGTGCAGAAGCTATTTTGATAGGTTCATTTTGATATCGATTTTTTAGTAGAAATAGAGCCGCAAACCGTAACTCATGCCGTAAAGCAAAGCTGAAACCAAAACCTAAAATAAATGCCATAACCCAAATTAAAAACCGAAATTAAATTTATAGAAGCTATCTAAAGTGGAAACTAATTGCAGCTTGTCGAAAATATTTTATCATCAATTTTTTTTAGTAGAAATATAACCGCAACTGTTACAACATAAAGCTAAACTAAAATTTATATGAATGCCATAATATAAATTAAGAGCCGTAATTTAAATATTTTAGAAGCATTATGAATCTCGGAATTTGTTAGCTGGAATTAAATAGTTAATATAAACAGAAAAACATTTTAGCAAATTAAAACATACTTTATGGCTACTGTACTTATTTTTATGAACAAAGTTTAAATATCAAAGCAGCTACGATTAAAAGAAATTTATGATTATTTCAATATCGGTTTTCGGACATTCAGTAGCCAATGATTTTCTAATTCTTTTGGCTTTCCAAGTGTTCAAGATTTGCCATATTCCCATTTTACACTATAATGACTACGGTCTTTAGCCTGACCTTTTATAATATAATTTCACATTTCTTTGGTAACCTTCCATCTTGTGAAGAAGTAATAAAATGTGATGAAGATAAAGAATAGTTTGAATTAAAGAATTTTAAATAATGTAAAATTATTGGTAACAATTTTTTTTATAAATTTATTTGACTGATATGACGGATGATATTTTTTATACATAAATTTTATAAATTTATTTAACTGATATAACGAATGATACTTTATATATAACGATGTAATCAATTTG